CCAGCTTTGCAGCAATGTTGCAGTTGCAGCCCGCACAGACGCATGTCGGAATTTGCTCGTAATTAGCAAGTTCTTCCCAGATTTGTTTCAGTTTGCCATAATATGTCACGATTGGGAGACCGGCCTGTTTGCTGTTCGCGAGATCTGCCTTGAGTTGCTGAATTCTTGGCCCATTACCTACTAAAAACCGTTCTTTGATGTCATCCCATAGATCCTTCACGGCCTCCATATATGTGATCGTAGAACGCGGGCTTGGTTCTATCGTGTTGAGGATCCATGAAACCAGCATCGAGTTTACAGTCCACCAGTCTTCCAAGTCCGGTGAATCATCTATGGGTTGAGATATAGTCCCATCGAGAAATTTGATCTTCTTCTTGGCTCGCAGCGCCATCCGCATTGCTCGAGCCCATTCTTCGTAGTTATCTCCTTTCAATTGAACTTGGGTAATTATATTACCCGGGTTGTTGTTGGCAGTCAAGTAGTATGGTGAGACTACCTTTCTGCTTCCGCCCTCACCTTCATTTCGCTTCTCTCTTCCATCTGCCATGATCGATCAGTCAAAGCAAGGTTTCTTCTTGGTTTCAGCGAAGAACAGATACCAGCTTCGACAAACGGAAGTAAAGAGAGTTCTGCACAATCCTCAGAGATCTGCTCCACAAACAGGGATTAGGAATGATCGAATATCGCAGATACCAACTTTGGAAGTAAAGAGGGCTCTGCAAAAATCCTCAGAGATCTGCTCCACGAATAGAGATCAAGAATGATCAAAATTTGCAAACTCAGAAGGCTGTGCGACAGTCGAATGTTCCTTGCGAAATGATCGAAATTTGCAAACTCAGAAGGTTGTGCGACAGTCGAATGTTCCTGGCTCTGATACCATGAGAAATTTCAGATTGAATGAAAAGATTTTCTTTCTATTCTGTTTCAGCAAATGATTGCAGAGAATATATACAAAGTCTGAGATCGCTCCCTCTTGCGAGGATCTCGGCTAACCAATAGGTACAAACTCCTAAAAGAATAATGAAAACAAAAACCAAAACCAACTAAAACAAAAGAGATAAGACTCATACAGAAGATAAGGCTACGCTAAGATAAGGCTTACAGAAGATAAGGTTACTTAATAATGCATTATGCTCCAGGAAAAAGTTAATGGTCTGATCAATCAGAATAGGAGGGGGAATAAACTTATTATTAACACTCTTTCCATTTCGGATTTTCCAAAGAAACCAAGGAACAATATTTTTTTCCCTTCAATAAGAAATCTCCTTTCATTTCCATGCAGTCACCATCAATGTTGAAACCTCTATTTGAGCATTTTCTTTGTAAAAAGCCCATCACTTATGTTTTATTTTGTTTTTGGCATCATGAGGTTAGACAATAGGGTAGCCCATGAATTGGGATCTTCTCCTCACATAGCACTCTTCACACCAACCTCACAGCCACATCCCGCCGTAAATAATAAATACAATTATGGGAAATGTTCTTAATATGTGGCCAAGATATACTATGAAGCTGGTATGAGGAGAAGATCCGTACTCGTAACCCATTCCCATCCCTTTTAGGAATTGGGATCACCTACCAAACAAAATATATTTCAACCCTTTGCCAACATGATTTGACACCCCATATCTCACTATGAAATTAGGATCCATCATAAAAGTGGGACCTGCCATGTATGAGTATGGTTTTTAAAACCGACCCGGTGACTGAACCGGTCAAGAGTCCGGTTACCGGGTCAAATGGTCGGCTCGTTCTGACAAAAAAATAAAAAATAAAAAAATAAAAAATGGTCAAAACCGTTCGAATAGTTCAAATAGTTAACTGACCGGTTCAGTACTTTGCTGACCAAAATCAACTATTTTGAGAAAAAATGAAATCAGTCAAGTAACCAATTCCTGATTTTTCCAGTCCGACCATCCCGTCCAATCTGATTTTAAAAATTATGTATAAAATGTACAATATCAGATCATATTAATAGAGGGTTGGAACGTATTTTATTAGCAGGTGATCAGAACCCCCTTATGCCCTAAACCCCTCAATCCTAGAATCAGTGGAATTTAATCCGTGGTCTCTGATACAAAGTCACATATATCCTACCAACCGACAGTAGGATGGTTTATGTCATATGCCTCCCATGGACAGGCTTAGCATTAATATTCACTTAAAGTAAAAAAAAAATATCCTAAAAGACAAAAAGAATAATAGAGTTACTTTAGAATTTAGATGGAGGTAGTGGAAAGAAAAGTTGGCCTCTTTTAACTGCTAGTGGTCCATCATTTGTACTTTGGAGTCTAGTGCTGTCAATAGGTCGGGTTGTAGTGCTGTCAATGGATCCGGTTTGACTTGGGTCATGATAAAACCGGTCCCAAATTAATAAAAAATGTGCATAGCCAATTTCAAACTAAGACTATATAGACTTTGTAATAGCAGACCCGGAAGTGATTCTAGTTATTAATTTTGTTATCGAATTGGACCCGATATCACTTGCAGCATTATTCCATTATCATCATCCTCATTTCAGCATTATTCCAATTATATGGGATATGGCTTATGGAGTTGGCTATATGAATCTTATCTTTTATTCTTTTTTATTTAATGCTATATCTATTGTTAAACTATTAATGTTTAAATCATTTTTATGGATAATGATGTCTTTTTTTTGTTAATTCTTGTCCTTTTTAGCATCTTCAATTTGTTATAAATCGGTGTGGTCTTTTATGCAAGGTTCAAAACTTTGGCATGAATGTATTATATCATGCTGGCCAGTGTCCAATATTTAAAATATAGGGGCTTAGGATTTTTGACCCATTTTAGGATTGGGTGGGGTGGGGTGGGGGGGAACTACGCCTAAGACCTACCCCTTGACCTATTTTTGAAAAAAGAAAACTAAGAAAAATGTTGGAGTTAGGTATGGATTACTACCATAAACCCCTTATGGCATATGTACGTAGGTATATTGATACTTTAGACCTTGCTTTTATCTTAGTTTACTTTCTTTCATTTTATCACTTATTGACCTATTCTTAAGTTTCTTGGAATGACTTTATTTCTTATTTTATCTTATCTAGTTTTTTCATTCATCCATCTTAGAACTATTTCTTGTTTAATCTTCCAATGACTTTATATATATATGTATGTATATTTTCTATATTCAGGTTTTAAGATTTTTTGATTGCTCAATACTTTGTTTTATACAACATATTTGGCCTTATAACTGTTTTGTAAAAAAACTCTTTAAACTATGTAGTATTCATACACCTTTTCCATTTTGCCACCTTGTTCTCTACTTCCATGCTCTCAATCCAAGGTTTTGAAACATATTGAGTTATCTCTTGATCTCTACAATGATTTATAGTCCTATTATTATTATTATTAATTTTACATAATTTTAAAATAAGCCTAATACCAACAAACATTGACAATAGACTTATTCATTTGTTAAATTAATGTATATGGAAAAAATTAACATATTTGGACAGATATAATATTATCAAAGAGCATACCATGATAAAGATATTAAGTATATGTTTGACATCGATGCTGCAGATGCAGTTATGTGTGGGTCAGAAGCACCGTTTTATGAGAAAATGGTGTTTTTCTTTTTTTTTTTTTGTTTGGAAATATTGCTGTCAGGTAGGACGTTTCATGAAGCATCAACAACGTTTTTTTTTTTTTTTTTTTTTTCTGTTTGGTTCCAATGCTCCAAAAAAACATTTTCAGCACTGATGCCCATTATCTAGTGCCACGTCACTGCCAGAAAATGTTTTCTATTTGATTCAAAACCAGACCCGACCCAATTATAATCCAGACATAATATCAAAACCTAGAACTGACCCATTTATAGTCATGGCATAATACCAAAACGTAGAACTGACCCAGCAATTATAATCGGGACATAATGCAAATCCAGAGAACATGTAATTGGAATAAGACATGGATGATGATGACTTTAAATAAAACAGATTGGCGAAATATAATTCATGTAGCTAATTCCATATAGTTGCGATAAAACATGAATGATGATGATGATTATAATGCAGACCTGGACCCAATTTCATTGACACGGACCGGTTCTTCCCAGTCGGATCTATCCCTTAACAGCCTTAATGAAGAAACCTAAACAATGCCAGTCAGTCCAAAATACAATCTCTTTTGTCTTTTGGGAAGTGGTTATCAGCACTAGTAAAAGGGGTTCTTTTTCAAAAGAGAAAAGAAGTGGATTTACACAGTGGAGTGCAGACCATTAATCTGCCACGTTAAAAGCAGATAACTGGTGCATGCGAATCTGTCTGATACTCTCTCAACTCTGATAGTGATGTCAAGCAACCAGTGTCTCAGTGATGGAGGATAATACTATACTAGTACCAGGATATAAAGTGGATGAAACTCCGAATGGATACAACATCGACCCGGGTCGGATGGAACACCGAATGGATTGAAAATTTAAAGCGAAACACGGTAGACCCGTTCACCGGCCAGTCTGAGTTTTGACTTTCAGTCTTTAAGCCTGAGCCTGCTCTTAATATAAAGCCCGAAGCCCAGGCCTGAATCTAAACTAAATTTGAACAGAAAAATTCTTACCTAATATATAATATAATTTAATAAATTAACATATTTTATATTAATTTTGCAATTATTTAATAAATTAATAAACTTATTTTCTAAATTATAAATTAGTATTTGATAATGATTTAATAAACTAATATATATTATATATTTAGGTCGGGCTTATTTGAGAAATATCGAGACCAGCCTGAAAAGTAATCCTACCTAATGTTTGGAGCCCGAGCCCATGGGCCTCAAGATATGTCCAAGCCCGATAAAGAACGGGTCGGTCCGGGCCCAGTTCCTGGGACTTTCATGACGAAAATGAAAGAGAGGTCGTTATTGGCGGTTAAAACCGAGTTGACAATCGGGTCCAGTGTGACCCATGTCCCATGATTGAATGATACACATGTGGGCACCCACATTAATGGCTAGTGGGATACAGATGCGTCAACTTCTATTTTTCTCCTTCTCAGGCGCTGTCTTTCGTCTATGCAGAGTTGCAGACCGCTCTGCTTGCTGTGTTATGTTCTCTAGTCGAAGAGATGGAATTCATGAAGCTCGTTTGCCCAAAATCTCCAATCGTAAGAGTTCCTTCATTGAGGCTCTCGTTCTATATTAGTTTCGAAGAAGCGGCAAACTATCTTCTTGTCCATTGCCCATAATTTGACTACGCCAAACCCATATGCCTTGAGACTCTGTTTTACTCTCTCTCTTTTTCTCGTAACATCTCTCTGTATCTCTCCAATTTCTGAGGATAATTTTCTTTTTATTGATACTTTTTGTTTGGTGGATTCTCTGGTTTTCAGGTATGGGATGGAAATGGCTTCTCGGAATGCTTTGAGAACATATATCCTTCTATCATTCTCTTATTTATTTTTTTGTGGCTTAGTGTTAATAGTTAAGTGTGTTTCTTTACTATTAAGTTGTAGAAAAAAGATTTGTTTTTCCTTAACACTGTGAAACGGTATTAGGTTTCTGCGCAAATGCGGTGACTGTTGTTATGATTGTTGTACTTGGATTTACTGGAAGAAATGCCAGGAGAAGTAGTAGGGTATGTTCGTTGTATTTCACTTAATCTTCATACTTCTATAAATTAAATAGTTTTGCATGTTTTTAGTTTTGGATGGATACCACCAATGAATATTTTGTTGCAGATGATATAGTCAGATTGTGTACTCTATATGGATTTCTTTCTTAACCCAGAAGACTCCTAGAGACTCGCTCCTAAAGACAAATTAAAAAGTTATTTTGACCCATTATAATTTTTTACACAAATTTCTAAAATTGATCAAAGACTTTTTAGGTTCTTTATTTTATTCTTTTTTTGGTCATAAAGCTAGAGAAACCAACTTCTACAAGTGGTTCTGTCATCAGCATCATCATAGTCGTCATCTATGCCTTATCCAAACTATATGGGGTCGGCTACATGAATCCTGTTTTTCCAATCATTCTATTTAAATCCCTATCCACTGTTAAACTATTAGTGCTTAAATCATTTCTTACTACTTTTACCCATGTCCTTTTTGGTCTACCATGATCTCTTCTAACCCATCAATGAGTGACAAATCACTTCTTCTAACTAGCGTATTTTAAAAGTCGTTCCTTCATAATCTCAATTGAACTCAACAAAGCCTTTTCTCAATCATTGGGGTCTGGTACAAGAAACCTGCTTTGATATTCCTCCTTATCAAGGTCTATATCCTATTGTCAAATTCTAAGTCCTAAAATCCTTTCTTACTACCACAAAGCATGTTCTTGGATTTCCATCTCTCTCTCTCTTTCTTTCTCTCTCTGATAAGTAAACTTTTAAATTTTATTAAATGAAGTTATGAACTATAATCAGCAAACATTACAAGAGGCCCAAGGAGAGGTGTGAGGTGCAGCCTCTCATGGAGCATAAAGTTACATTAGATAACTCATTCTTACTGGTGTAGTAGATCATCTTCTTTTTGCATGTCCAAGCCATTTTAATCTAACTTCCATCATATTATCACTTATTTGGTGTTACTAAATAATTCCCATTTGTGAATCCATGCTTTTGCTATTTATCCATATAATGTCCTTGACTCTATTATGTTAATTTTATTAAAGTATAGTTTCTTGATTCATAGTGCTTTGCTCCATTAATATTGATGGCCTTATAGATGTGTTATAAATTTTTCATTTTGGTCCTGTTGGTTATCTAATCAGGCAATATTTCAGATTCTCCTCTTCACTTCATCTATCCTGCTCTTATCTTATGGGCAATATCCTCTTCAATCTCTTGTTTACTATGGACCATTGAACAAAATAGTGAAATGATCTTTTTGAGATATCACAAAATAAAGATGGTTAGGTCATTCTTTACTTATTTGAATTTTATATCTGATAATACTCTAATTTGGAAAATCTAATAACCTCAAAATAAAAATTTAGAGCAAAATCTTTTTTTAAGTTAGCCATAACTTGCACTAACTACATCCAATTCTGGAGATATTAGACTTGTTAGAGAGATAACTCAATAACCTTTCTAATGCACCATCACCATGTCATAGATAACTTGTTATCTAAAAGTTAAGGTTATGAAGGAATTACATTTCGTTGGGAGGGAGGATAACCTTGATTAGGGCATCCTTAGCTAACCTACCCATCTACTACCTTTCTACCTTCAGAATTCTAGTTAGAGTGGCAGATCAATTAGGGACTTCCTTTGGGAACCAGGGGATGAGAAGAGGGACCATTTGGTGGAGTGTAAGGAAGTTAACAAGACAAAGGAGCAGGAAGGATTAAGAATAGAGAACCTAATTTATAGAAATACAACACTCTTGGGGAAGTGGCTATGGAGGTTTCCTTTGGAAAGTGACAGGCTTTGGCATAAGGTAATTGGAAGCATTCACAAGACATTGAATAATGGATGGGATGTAAAAGCAGCTTCTTCCTTGTTGACACTTTCTCCCTGGAGTTCACATCATTAATTCCATTAGATATGATGTGGGTTGTGGGACCAAAGTATTGTTCTGGGAAGAGCTATAACTGACTGAAATCTCCCTTCAATTTGCTTTTCCAAGTCTCTTCTCATTATCTAATTACAAACAACAGCCTGTATTGAGGTTTGCTACTTTCTCTTCTTCAGGGGTGAGCTAGGATTTTGGCTTTAGAAGGGGTCTAAGGGATAATGAATGTGAAGCACTCATTCAACTGTTGAACAAACTTCAGCTAACCTTTCTGGATCAATCAGTAGAGGACACTAGAGTTTGGTCTGGTACATCCAATGGGGTTTTTACTTGTGCTTCTTTCCTTAATTCCCTCTTGCAACCAAATAATATGGGTGAGAATTTCCTTGTGAAAGAGATTTGGAGTAAGCCTATCCCACCTTAAATCTAGGCTTTATGTTGGGAAGCCTGCCTTGTAAAGGTAAACACTAGTTATGCTTCAAAAAAGAAGGCAAAACAAATGCTTATTGCCTCAGATGTGCTTCCTTTGCCTTGCAAGTGGTGAATCCTTATCTCATTTATTTCTTTTTTTCCCTTTTGTGCTTTGTATTTGGGACCTCTTTTGTTCTCTTTTTGGTTGCAGGTGGTCTCCTCCACAGGATATAGCAAACCTTTTCAGCCCAAGTTTCCTATGGCAACCGAAGAAGAGAGGAAGAATTATGTGGAGTGCAACTAGGGCTGCAACAGTATATTCTATTTGGGAGGATTTTCAATGAGAAGAGTAGGTCGAAAGAGGAATTGTTTGAGGCCATCAAAATCAGAACTGCACATTTGATAGACACTTGATCAATTCAAAGAATTCTCAGTAAATGATGTCCTAAGGGCAAGGACTCAAGTGGCATCCTCATCCAAAGAAAATGAAAAGGCATTTTGGAGTGGTTACCCCCAGCGGCTAATAAAATAAAACTAAATTTTGATGGAATTTCTGTGGGAAGCATGGGGAAGGCTGGTATTGGAGGAGTATGTAGGGATTGCACCGAAAAGTGTTGGGTATCTTCTCAGGAGCTCTGGGGCTAGGAGATGCACTAAAGGCTGAGCTAATGGCATTACTACAAGGGCTAAGAATTGCTAAGCAATCAGGATTTCAGCCTTTAGAAGTAGAGGGAGATTCAAAGCTGATAATTTCTTGGGCCAAAAACAAGCAGCTTGTGCCATGGATATATAGGCACGAATTTAGGGAAATAGAGAGCATCACACAGGAGCTGAACATAACCTTCAAGTGGGTCAGAAGGACAGCAAATGGGATGGCTGACACTCTTGCAAAGCAAGGGGTATATAGGCAACAGATGTTTTGGGCACCATTGTAAATCTTATTCCTGAATTGGGATTGGAATGAATCCTAATGGGTGGATACACCATGTTCTTGTAATATCCATATTATCAGTTTAATATAAATCCAATTTTATTGCTGATCCAAAAAAAAGTTAAGGTTATGAAGAAAGTAACAGAATTGCAATCGGTTTCCCTTGTTTTGCCATAGACCTTCCTTTTTGGACTTGTGATATCATGAGTATAGACTCACTGTTTGGACATAACAAGTCAAAGCTATTGTTAATTTGTTACAGGAACATATTTATCCATAGACTAGAAATTCACTTTATACTTAGCAGCATCAAACCATATGGCTGACGAACATGATAACATGGGTCTGAATCTGAGAGTGGGCACTTTGTGCCAACAAAAAAGGGAAAAAGTGAGAAATTAGTTCTGCATCCAGTTCACCCCTCCCAGGATGGCTAGGACCAACATTGGTTAATGGTCCTTTTTTATCAAATCATATTAGAGTGCATGATGTATTTCATGTTTGTTATTTGCCTTGTTTAAGAATTGGATATTGTCTTGTCTTCTTCTTATTCTTAAGTTTGTATTTAATCTTGTTTTTATTTATTTATTTTTTTAATTTTGTAGATTACAGAAATGTGCTTTGTGGAGAAGCTCTTCTTGACTTTTATACCTGCTTTTGGAGCACTATTATCTTTCTGTGACATGGTCTTCCTTCTGAAGAAGGTGCTTCAAGGAAAGCATACCATATATCATGAATGGTTTTTTAGATGTTCTCAGTTATTAACTTGGGTAAGATTCTTGAACTTAAGTTGCTGGAAAATCCTATGAAGTTTTTAGAAGCTACGGGTTCTTTGATCTTGGATTCTTCTCCCTCCCTCCTTCCCTCTCACCCCTGTCTTCTGAATTCTTAAATTTTAGGCCACCATTATTCTCTTCTCAAAGTGTGAAAATTGGTTCTTCATATTTTGTGATCGCGTCCTTTGTTTCTGGTGGATTGCAAGACCTCTTTTTGGGATTCCTCATTTACATACAGTGTTTTCTTCATTAGAGGTAACTCAATCATTTCTTTTTTAATTTTATTTAAATATTCAATTTCTTCTTATGTTGTTTTATATGTAGGTTTAGTTTCTTCTCTTGACATAAACAAATAGTGAAAACATTTCCTGTCCTTGTCTGGGCATGAATAAAACTCATCTTTTCATATTGAAGCATTAGTGGTTGAGCTATGATTATGATTGCTAACTTAAATTTTCAGTAAAAAACATTCAATTAACCTGATTAGTTATGATCTTGAGCCTATCTCTGTGCCTGTTTTAGATGTTCTTTTTTTGATAATAAATAAATAATAAAGCTTATTAACTAAGAGAAAGGTACAAAAGAGTATATGAGAGGAGGGCACTCAAGATATACAACAACCACAAGAAAAACAAAGGAACCTTCCAAGACATTCATAAATGCTAATAGGGCAATTCCAAACCCTACCAAAAGTAGAATAATTAAGGACTTCAGATTCTGGAGATATTAGTAATCAGATTATAATCAAGAATCTGATATGGAAAAACTATTTCCTTTGTGAAAAGTTTTGGACCAGCAGTATGGGCTCCGTCCTTTGAGATGGAAAATTTCCTTTTCTTTTCTTTCAAGTTTGTGGGGGCTGATTTGCCAAGTTTTTATAGACTGGGTTCATTGAAAAGGCCAGAAAACCCTCTTGTTTGAAAAGATAAAAAGGTAATACATAATAGTACTTTTATCTTTCAAAATAATTCTTTTTGATTACTCACTAGGGGTTTGCTCTTATCAACAATGGAATGTTCCTAGATTGCCACCTGTCCTTTCTTTTGTTATACATGTAACTTTCAAGCCAAAAAGTTTTCATCTGTTCATATTGCATAGAAAGCCCAAACAATTTTAGAAAAGGCCATTGCTACCTTTCCTTTCTTTTGTGATACAACCACTGTAAGTAGAACTTCACTTCTTTTAGACCTTAAAGGATATGAACTATGACAATATTTTGCAGACTTTAATACAAGGACTGAAACAATGGTTCAGACCTGCTGTTATGTCTAGAAGTAATAGGCAACAACATAGGCAGAGTCCCAAGAAAAGAGAAGAAGAGAGAACGAAGAAGAAGGAGAAAACTGGAGAGAAAAATCTGTCTCCTCAGTCCGGTTGGCTAGTATTTATACATTACTTAAAAGAATGACTAGAATTCCCCTAATTAAGTATGGGCACACAACTTAAAATAGGACAAGAGAGACTAACTATATTATAATAAATAAGGAAGAAAAGACCAAAAACACCCTTATAGGTCAGCTGTTAACAAGGGCCATAACCCAATTCTGGTCCTGACTATCTGGGATCTTAAAAAGTGTGAGAGCTGGTTATGGACCTAACCTTTGGCATTTTCTTGAATGAAGTGGGAACTCTCAGACTCAAAAGTCAAAACCATCTTCTCATGCTTATCATCCCAAGATTTCACCATTGTACCAAATAATGACCCCTATTTTGCAAAATTAGAGATCTCATCTCATATTGAATATTTAAAAGATCATGACCAAAAACCTGTAGGATCAACTTCTCTTAACTTACAATGCCAACATATTACTTGGTCTTTTAATAGTTCTCGTGGTAGCACTATATTTGTGAGCTTCATACTGAGCTAAAGACTCTTCAAGAGGGTAGATATTGTTGATAGAAAAAGATATTGCAAAAAAAATTCTCCTAGTCATCCTCCTTGAGTGCAAGTACTGGATAACAAAATGGGAGGACAAATATTTATATTGCAGATTAAAGATTTGGTGATACTGTTGATAGAAAAAGATAAAATGATACTCTAACAGGCAGCAAAATAGAAATATGAGTACAAGTGGGGGAATGCAAGATATAAGGAAAGGAGGATGTTGAATGAATCCAAAAATCTCCCTCCTCTAGTAAATAAGTGCACCATCTGCAACTTTTACTTTCTCGGTTTCTCACTACTAGACAAATCTCCATCCTCTACTAAAGAAGTATCTTTGGTCTAAAATATTAATGTTCAAAGTTGTGTATTAAAAAGAGTTGTTCTAGCATTTATTACCAGTTCCATGTGACAGGTTATACAATGTCTTAAAGAGAGTTGTTCTATGGTGATTGATATCATATTTGGACTATTTGTCAACATCATCAGAGTAATGCAATCATCTTATAAAAGTAGGTAAGTGATATATATTTGAATATTTTCCTAAATTCTTCTATTACTGTGAGATATATCACATTGAAAATATATCTTCATTAACCTTGTGTTGTACCAAAAAATTGTCCTGTTACCAGTTACTATTTTTAGATTTTCAACCTCCAATAATCTCTTAAGATATGCTAGATATTCTGCATGAAATATGTGAAAGTTGACTGCAATATCCAGTCTTAAAATGAATATGGATTCCTTTCCTGACATAGAAATAAGTATGTAATAGTAATTGAGCAATTATATTGCTAATCCATAAACAAATATAAAAGCATTTAGGTATATTACTATTACATATTAACATATGATCATTGACTCGTAATTATGAGATGCCCAAATTCTAACAGTGATGGATATCAATCTCGGTTTAAAAGGCACATGAAGCTTAGACCTTGAGGTTTTCCTCAAGGCATGATTCAAGAGAGAGCCACAATTCTCAACCCTAGAGTCTAATACCTTAAAGTATAAGGCATATTCCCGAAACTTTCAGATGCTTTTTATGTGTGTATGTATGTAAATGTATGACAGTATGTTGGCTGTCTCTATTCTTCAATATATTTAAAACCACTGTGAGGTACTATATAACATTTATATTTTCATAATAATATTAAACAGTGTATAGGAATGTGACAGATCTTTCTCTAAGCTCCTAATATTCTCATTGTCCTTGCTTGTGTGATCATTATTCATTAATATGCTCTTCATTTTTGAGAATATACTTTTCTTCATATTTCTATAATTATCCTCAATCTTCATCTTACTATCTTAGTTTGATGTTTTTCTTGGAAGTATTCATGAGGCTTAAACTTCATACTTTAAGGCTTATGCCTCACACATCTAAAGGTATTGGAACTGACCTCATGCCTATATATGTATATATCTATTAGCTCATTTATTTGTATAAGAATTAACTAATAAAAGGGCAGCCCAGTGCATGAGGCTCCTGCCAATGCGGGGTCTGGGGAGGGACGGAAATTGAATGTGTGAAATATAAAACATAAAAAAGTTGTTTCTAAATTGTCCCAGTGTTACTAAGATCATCGATTATATGTAATGTTTATTTGCAGAAATTGTGGTTCACTAGAAGAAAATCTCATCTCAAGTGCCTTGGATTCAGAGGAAGGCCATCTTAGACATTTTGTATGTCTTTTACTATCATCCTAGCTTTATCTAAGATACTAATGCTTTTCTTTAGTCATTAGTTGTTTGTGAGCCAAAATTGGATGTCATTAGTTGTTTATTGATGCTTTATTTTTTTATTCTTTTTCTTAAGGATATTTCCATGTTCATAGTTTTTCCCCCTTCCTCATCACAGGAAACGATTCATAACTATTGGCATCTTCTGACTTTCAAGTCTATAAGTCCGGTAATGGATCGTGGTGTGACAAAGCAGCTTGACTTTGAAGATTTAGTTCAGCTACCTACTGAGTTGAATCCTTCCTCTTGCCATAGTACATTGCGAAGCTGTTGGGTGGCTGAACAATGTAAAAATTCTTCCCAGCCATCCTTGTTTAAAGCAATTTGTTGTGCATATGGATGGCCCTATTTTCGGCTTGGTCTGTTAAAGGTGATTTATATCTTTCTCTTTTTTTTTGTGAGGATAATGCCTTTTCCTGTTGACCTTTCATGTTATTTTATTTGTTTTTCCTTTTAACAAGTCATGCAATGTTATTTTATTTGATACCTCTTACTGAAGCCTCTTAGCCCTAGTTTATTTTGTCTTGTTAATTAGTTGTTAAAGCATATACTAGCAGGAAACCTTATTTTCTCACTACAATGCGAACTGAGATGACTTTAAATTCTTTAAACAAGAAACAACATGAATTACAACAAAGAAAGTAACACTTGAGTAGAAGCCCTTATGGCATACCAAACACTGCGTTTGTCCTATCTCTTTGAATTATTTTTGAACCAAACCCAGACCATATTTAAAGAGCTTATATCTTTCAAATTCTTGGAGGTCTTGGAAAACCTTAGAGAATTCTTTTATCATGCTTCTTTCAGTAAGTTTCATCAACTTCTGAGGCTAAAATTATACTGGCATACTTTCTATGCACTTGCGATGATTGCTCTAAATTCTAGAACGGCCTTTTCCTTGGCACTTTGAAATACAAGTGAAGAAAAACTAATAACTACAATCCTTGAAGAAACCATAAAATTTTGAGTAGATATTCATTTTTTGACGGATTAGTGGACTTATTAAAATATATGAAACACCTACTAAAGATATTTGATAGAGTAGGTCTAAATAACAGCATATTATTGTTAGGTTATATGGAGTTGTTCATTTATATGGCCATATAGTTAATCCTGAGGGTTTCCGTCAATGGAAGTTTTGTCTGCTAGGATAACTTTCTAGTTAAAATACAAATAAAGGGGAATGGGGTCATATAAACCGGATTTATTCTAATTTACCCAAATTTCTTGTTCTTATTTCTACTCAAGGGTTTTGGATTTCAGAACTTAACTCATATATACTGACCAAGATTATGGACCAAAAAGACTCTTTTATGCTGTCCAAAAATCTAGAAAACTGGATGCTACTGTGCTTTGCGTTTGTTTTTCTTATTTCTTAAAACCCAGTTATGGCTTTGTTGCATTCACTTGGATCATTATCTATTATTTTCCAATTTCCAGTTGAAACATTTGAAGCATTATCCTATTTAGTATACCATAGCTTTCCTGATTATAGAGAAGTAGAGCTGTAATGTTGGTTGTGCTGTGCTGGGCCTGGGCCTGTAGTGGGCCGTGCCTGCTTGGCACAAATGTGAAAAGAGGGGCGAGGCTGTGGGCTGGCATGATTTTTTCTTTTTCTTATCTTTTTTTAAATTGAAAAAACCATGAAAAATTAACAAGATAAACAACAAATCGAAAAACAATATCTTAAAATATGATTTCATATGAATTTTAATGTATACAATTGTTCATATATGAACTAATAAAATAAAAATGGAAAAAATTACAATGAAATTGGAATAAAATAGTATAATAAAATTGAAAATAAAAATTTATATACATATATATATTTATATATATGTATGTATGTATACATATCATTATATCTATCTATCTATCTATCATTATATCTATATCTATATCTATATCTATATGCATGTGTGTGTGGTCTGTGCTGGGCTTGGCCATTTTCGTGTGCTGTGTTGTGAAAGCCTATGGGCCTGGACCCCTTAAGTCTGGCACGACCCAAATCATGTTGGCCCACGGGCGGCCTGACCTGTTTTACAGCTCTACAGAGTTCTTTAGGCTAGTAACTAGAAATTAGGTAGTTTATTAAATAAATGAAGCAAAAATCTTGCTCCAAATAGTGTTCTGCCACAAGAGGAGCTATTTTTTCCATCTAAATGGTGAAATCTGTTTTGTAACTCATATCACAAATTGCCTTGGTTCTATAAGAGCAAGATGGAGTAACTAGTATATGCATACTCTTAGAAGTTCTTGAGGATGCAAGTTTCTTTAACTCCTTGTGCCCACCAAAAAATAAAACCTATGAATTGAAATCCTAATTCCTAGTATATGAGAAATGCTGGACAACTTCCCCAGGTTTCCTTGTACTCTGTACATGAAAAGAAGAGGGAATTGAGAGTAATCAGTTTCCCTAAGAATACATTTTTCTTTCACTATGATGACAAACATTTACATTGTCGCATTTAAAAAAGTGATTTTAATTAACTACAATATCTTAGGTAATAAAGAGAGAAAAAGGGTAGCCCAAGCACATAAAAATAGCCTCTTGTATCTTATATAAAAAACAAACATCTAATCCTGCAGATTGGGGCCCCAAACCAGCCCCTTTAGCTATGTTGTTGGTTCTTGATAGAGCACTATCTGGGATGCCATTTAGAAAAATGTCATGTTGATCTAGAATCTAGAAAATATTTCATAATTAGAAGGCATTTTGCCATCTTTTTGACTTGATTTGAATCCTTTAAGTGAGAAAACATCCTAGGTCACAATTTGGGACTTGATGAACTAAATTAGAAATTAGATGTTTGTGGTGTATTTCAATTTTATATTTTATATCCTATCTCCAACAACTTATTGAGATAACTAGGGGTGCAACTTGGATTGGGTTGGGTTGGAAATTTGTCAAATTTCCAATGGGACCAAACCCTAACCTGAGTCCGATGTAATTGAAAATCCTCAAGTCGGGCAACCCAACTTGCAATCCTAGAGATATAACACACTAAATTTCTTGTTAACTGTTAATAATATTCCTTTCATTGATTTTCATATTTTGCAGGTATTAAATGATTGTATTGGTTTTGTGGGACCTCTACTTCTCAATAAACTAATTTGGTTTCTTCAAAAAGGTGCTGTATTATTTGATGACAATTTTTTTTATTAGTAAGTAATAGAATCAAATTGTGTTGATATGTGCAAAACAAGATAACTACAAGACCCTGGAGTAACAAAAAACAACCAAGGACATCCACAGCCCAATCGAGGATTATCTTTATACTAATATACATCACATGCACAAAAGAAACTAGTTTGGCATATTGGTGTACCAAAGGAGCTCTTCTCATTTCTCCCTATCTGAATGAGGTTTCAAACTGGTATGCATATCCCAAGCCTCTCAAAACCTTTATCCTTCATTGGTTAACCCACTTCTATCATATTATAGCTTAGGATCTTCATTGGTTAACCTTTTCTTCCTCTTCCCTACTTTATCCTTCTCTTCTTCATATCTGCTTTCTGTTTGTTTTGATTGTGATAATTGATTTTGGATTTCAAATTCTCCACTTCCTTCTTTGTTCTCTTATATTTCCAATGAGACTACACCAATTTATTGCGGTCCTCTTTCTTTTCATCCACAACGTGGGAAAGACCCAATTGTTCTGCCACATTGTATCTGTTATGCAGGAGAGAAGAATGAAAGAAGAGAGAAAAGAGAGAGAAGAGAGAACTGAGAGCTCAAAGATACTGCTGGAGGTGCAACATTTTAATATATATACTAGGGCAACAACAACTAAAATAAAAAAGGAGCAAAAGTACAATAGTACCCCTGCGGTATTATACATAGGAAAAAATAACAGTTGTTAACACTCCCCCTCAAGTTGGGACATAGATGTCAATCATGCCCAACTTGTCACATAAATCATGATGTCTTGAGTGGTGTAGTCCTTTTGTAAAGATGCCTGCAAGTTGATCCTCAAAGCTGACATAGGGAGTACACACTTCCCCTGTGATAACTTTCTCTCTGATAAAATGCTTGTCGACTTCGATGTGTTTAGTTCTATCATGTAGCACAGGGTTAGCAGCAATGTTTATGGCTGCTTTGTTATCACAGAATAGGGTCATAGGTCTGTCCACTGGAAAGCCCAACTCACTCAACAGATTCTTTATCCACATAATTTCAGCCACTTCATGAGCCATTGCTCGATATTCAGCTTCAACATTGGATCTAGCCACCACACTTTGCTTTTTGCTTCTCCAGGTAACTAGATTTCCTTCTATGAAGGTGCAGTAGCCACTAGTTGACTTTCTGTCATTTAGGGATCCTGCCCAATCTGTATCAGTACACACTTCAACTTTCAAATGTCCATGCCTTTGAAACAACAAGCCAGCTCCTGGAAACCTTTTAAGGTATTAGAGGATTCTTTCTGCTGCTTCAAGATGAGTGGTCATAGGGGCATGCATGAACTGGCTAAGGACACCAACTGCATAAGCAATGTTTGGGCGGGTCATAGAAAGATATAACAATCTCCCTATAAGTCTCTGAAACTGTTTCACATCCTTGATAGGTTCACCTTGGCTGTCACCTAATTTATGGTTAGGATCAAT